ATTTATGTATAAATAAATATAAAGTATACATGCAAATATTTCTTAAATATATACATGCATGTGTGTATTTATATATACAAAATATTTATACACTCTACACACACATATATTATGTAAACAAACTTTTATTTTGGATGTGATTAATCGTTTGACAGCCCTACATAAAAGTTTAAGGCAACCAGCTACAGGACAGGACAATCAGTTTAGGGTCATCAGTTGTACAAATGTTAAATAGTTGAATTAACTATAAAAACAGAATTTGTCAAACAAAATGTAAGTTGCATTTTTTGAAAATGAAAATTGTCATTTACTCACCCTCATGTCATTTCAAACCTGTGCGACTTACTTTCTTCTGTGAAACGCAAAAGAATATATTTTAAAGTGTCTAAAATAAAATAATATACAAAGTAATTGGGGCCCAATCTTGTTTGGGGGTAATTAAATTACTATTATTTTATTGTTACTATAGGGGATTATCACGCTGATACGTAGGACTTCCGGATTCAGTGATCTTTGTGCACTGCCACTTCCGTTGAATGACCGATCTCGCTGGCGAACTGATGAAGGACTACACTAAGTTTATTTATACGGCATCCCTGGTAAATTAGTCTGATTCACTAAAGTGCCGGCTGCAAACAAACGTGTTACCTTGTTTTATTTTAAAGTTTTAATCCAGTTCTTCCTTATACTCAATTCAGTCGGGAATCCATGAAAACTTACGTAGGGTTGGCGTTGTTGGTTAGATTTACAAAGTGGAACAGAGCAGTGACATACAGGTATATAGCCTTCGTCTCAGCCATTGTTGAACTGTGTCGGAAGTGGACATGCACAAAGTTGACAAATCCCGCCCATGAAACCCGGAAGCGTGATAGTCCCCTATTGTTAAAGGTGCAATGTGTAACAAAGTTGAGTATCTATTAACAGAAATGCAATATGACATTCATAACTATGTTTTCAGTGGTGTATAAAGAACTTACTTAATTAACCGTAATGTTTTTATTACCTTAGAATGAGACATTAATAGCTCCATAACCGCGGGAATCCCCTTCTATGAAGGTCGCCATGTTGTGACGTCATATTTCTACCGTAGCCGAACGCGAACACACAGTGCTACAGAACGCGTTTCATCACTACCTTGAAAGAGAAGTAGCGGAAAGCTGGAAGCTAGCCTTACACTCCGTGAGTAGTGACTTTTCCCTTGTGAGTGGTGTAAAATATGTAGTTGGGATTGTTTCATGTAACTTAGTTCTCCCTCGCTGTGTTATGGGTTTGTTATGTTGGGGGTAGATGTGCTGTTACGTTCGTGAGACAGCTGATGATTAGTATTCATGTCATTGACCGTAAAACAGTACGTTACAGGAATCACTAACCCGTCGATAGAGACTTTTACTAAAGTCTTTTATCACTAAAGTCGATCGCGAAGATTTTTCAAAATCAGAGAAAAAAAGCCTATTGTGTGTAGTAAATAGTATCTATGGGATGCAGAGATGACATGATTGTAACAGCGCCCGCACTTCCGACCTTTGGACTCATGCGGACGAGTCCCAGCTCAGCCACAGTAACAGCTCATATTAGCCAGCTAAACTATTACTACCCTGTTAGAAAAAATATATAGCTGCTCCCTCGCTGTATTATGGGTTTGCTACAGTATGTGGGGATAAATGTGCTGCTGGTTACGTTTGTGAGACAATCAGCTGATTAATATTATTTTATTAAATTATATATTAAAACCCTTGATCCTCACCTGACTATGGCTTTGTAAACAGTATTCATGATGTGGTTTATAATGGACTGTGGTACAGAAACAGTGACAATGTTACACACTCTTGGCTTACTCTGGCTATTCTCTGCTGTCTCAGCCGACGAGATGTTTCTCCCGTTTTAGCAACCGTAGCTTCTTCGAAAGGGAGGGGTGAGCAGTGGGCTGAGCCCTTAGACCCCGTTTACACCTGGTATTAAAATGCGATCTGTATCCAGATAAGTTATCCGGATAATAAAAAACGCATGTTAATGCAAGGTGTAAACGCGTTGTGATCGGATCGTGATCGGATCTGCCTGACCACATCTGGAGGTAGCCTGGCTCGCATTGTGTCCGGATCTTTACTAGGTGTAAACGCAATCTGGTTGTTGAAACCACATATGTATATTTTACTCCTCCCAAAAATGCTAAAAATTAAACGAGTGAGAGCGTGTTATATAGGCTATGTCATGTTATAGCCTAGTCAGATGCGACACGCGACACGCATCACCGCAGATGAGCAGCTGAGCGCAGAGCCGGCTTCAGACCGCTTTTAGCAGGGGGGCATTTATTTTCAATGGGTGGGCACTAGGTAGGTATGGGGACTTTTTTTCCGATATTAGATATCCTATATTTATTATTGCTACTGCCTTTTCTGTTAGCTATTAACATAATGCAACCCACACAATAAACACATAAAACATTACACATTGTTGCAAGACGAGCGACTCTTAAGAAATTTGATCAAGGGTTAAATAGGCCTATACAAAAAAAAATTGCAAGACCGACTCTGACCACAGCTTTATAATAGCAAAGCTAACGAACATGTACACAGTACGTCTCTCACTGACAGAATAGCCGTTTATGCTATCTCAATGGCGGAAGTGAGAAAAAAAAAGTTACTCATCTTTATTCTGCTATGTTCTAACATAAGCATTTACATTCGTAGCCTTAAAAAAGCATCATGTAGTTACCTTTATCAAATAAAACCTTTAACACCTTTAACAAATAAAAAACACCCACAACATACACAGATATTATTCTACAATTTCCATTTACAAGAAAATATAGGCTTAAACACCTGTTTCTCCACGGCAGCGCAAAAACTAGGCCAACTAAACTATTAGTTTCATCACGTGACAACACATAGTGAACATTACAGTACATGCCAGTTAGATAATAGCTACACTTACGACTCGGACTGGACTGTCTTTGGTCTCGGTCTCGACTACACTGCACGGTAGAAGCACCAAATACCAAAGCCGGGCTGTCGTTGTCTTGCTGTATGGGGTAATCGATGTGTAAGGAGAAACTGTGGTATTGAACCATTTTCTAATTTCCATTTTTGGAGAGTTTTCATCTGTTTGCTTTCTTTTGAATGCAGGAAGCTCGCGCGGTCGCGCCAACTGAAAATCATTTCATTCAAGTATTAACGTGCGTGATTGGGGGGGCGGAGCCGGCAGGGGGGTTTCCTCACAGCGTCACACTGGTTTTTATGTTGGCTTTATTGTATTTTCAGCTAATGAGCTGTTTGTAGACATATATTTGTACTATTTCTCACTGAAATGTGAATTAAATTAAACTGATATTATTTTGTAAATTATATCATAATTCAATTTGGGGGGGCACAAAATACATTTGGGGGGGCATTGCCCCCTAATGCCCCCCCATAGCGCCGGCACTGGCTGAGCGTCTATTCAACGTGCAAACATCGCAAATAAAAGTGAAAGTAAGTCACAGACGCAGTTAACACATCTTCAAGTAAAGAAACGAAATTATCTTACCAGGCCTGTTGCCACTCTCTCTTATTGATGTCTCTGATTTGGGAATTAGCTGATGATCAATAAAATGCCGCTCAGATCTGTTGCTTTTGGTGGCGTGCAATCCATTAAATCTGCATATAACGCAGGAGGTGAAGATCGGATTTATATCCATTTTGCAAAAACACATTTATGTGGCCAGGTGTAAATGGAATCAGTACTTATTATCCGGATAACTTATCTGGATACAGATCGCATTTTAATACCAGGTGTAAACGGGGTCTTAGTGCAAACCTGGTGCAAACTCGCAACCGAACCACTAGATGTCGCTAAAAATCACACATTGCTCCTTTAAATCACTATTACTAATATAAACTTATATTAACAACAGTAATGTGCAAAGAGCTTATTTTTATTGGGGAAAATTTGAATATTCTACTCTTATTAAAAGTATTGTTCTTCTGTAGTATCATACTGACCGACAGCTTCAGTGATTATAAAAGGAGCGCTCTTTACTTGCAGTCTGTGTAATTCAGTCGCAATTTCAAGTTTTTGTTTTCATGAGTCTTTGTGACTTTTCCTATTTAAGGACGAAAAATGTGCCAAACAAAAATTGATTTATTGATGATTCGACATTTTGTAGTGATTTCATGTCTATAAATATTCAAATATAAATTCAAAACCAAAACGTTATACTAAATTTATAAGGGAGTGGCAGGGTACCCATGGATCCTTGAAATCATTGAAAGTTTGTGAATCTGAAAAACAAAATTCAAGGCCCTTGAAAGTTTTTGAAAATAGAGGCAGGTCCTTGAAAGGGCTTGAATTTATTTTGTGCCAGAGCTTTTCTGGAAAAAAAAAATCCCTCCGGTCCACTAATGTGTTATTTCGCCAACGCTTTGTGACCAATGCACACTAGCTTACTTGATTTACGTGAGTTACACACATTTACATGTTACGTTAAGTGTTTCCCACGTGAGGTACTTTGTTATATGTTGCCATGACATTCACACGGACACGAAACCGCTACGATGGTTCCCATAACGTTTCACAGACACATCTTGGAACATTGCAAAAATAGGCTGAAACCAGTGAAACATGATGCCTGGAAAATGCTAGTTTCAAGATATTTGGAATATTTTATAATGTATTTGATCTACACTATGTTGACCCTACATTAGTCCTTGAATTTGAGGGTATTGTACCTGGAAAGTCCTTGAAAGGTCCTTGAATTTGAAGTTAGCTGAGTTGTGGGAACCCTGGAGTGGGTAAGCCAATGAGTGCTCCTCTACTGGTTATAGTTGTAATTTCATGTGTTTTTAGGTCAGGGTTTTTTTCAAGTCAAGTCAAAGATAGTGGCCCTGCTTTCTAACAGCAACTCTCCATTGGCTTTCGAGCTGGAAAAACCAAACTCTAGTCTGGCCAATCACAACGTGTATAGAGTCGGTGGGCGGGCTTAACATAATGACAACAGAGTTGCGACGGTTACTTGAAAATAAAGAATGGCTGTTGCTACTGGTGAACAGCGGTCTTTCGATTCGGCTTTGGCCGCGACTCTGGAGGACTTGGAGTTAAGCTTTTATTTGAGAAAAGAACAAAGAAGGGCACTGAAGTCATTCTTAAAAAAGGAAGATGTGTTCGTAGTTTTGGCGACCAGATACTTCTATTACTTTTTTATTCATGGCACAATGTCTCCTGGTTTCCACATCAGCGCTGCTTGATCTGATATCTATGGTTTATAGCAGAGAACTATGGGTGGAATTTGAATGCTTCTCACTGGATCTCCCATTGCTGTGTAGAAACAGTGTCCCATATTTTGCTCTTATTAGTTGGGCAGTGTGAAATGCAAAATGCAACCATTTAGTTAGCCCTCTCAGTAAATGATGATTGGTTTTCTGAAGGATAAAGAGCTCACTTGTCATGTTTCAAATTGTTTGATGTTGTATTTTGCTTTCTTTCACAGCTCGTGTCCAATGTCCTGATCTTCTCCTGCACTAATATAGTTGGCGTGTGCACACACTACCCAGCAGAAGGCTCACAGAGACAAGCCTTCCAGGAGACCAGAGAATGTATTCAAGCTCGTCTGCACTCTCAGAGAGAAAACCAGCAACAGGTACAGTAAGAGACCAACAGAAATCAAGAGGACTCCTGTGGCTACAGAGCATCTTTTAATTTCTAGTGTTATTCTGTGAGTCTGAAAGATTTGTTGCTCAGCTTGATGATCATCAAATTTCCAAGGCACAGGTACACCACTGTTTAAAAGTATGGGGTCAGTGATGGAATAAATGCATGAGAGACTTCTTTCAAATACATAAAAAAAAAAAAGACTTGCTGAGCCAAACCTTTGAACATGATGTAGATGGATAGATATAATGGTATCATTTAACAATAAGGTTTCATTAGTTAAAGGGATACTCCAATTTTTTTGGAAATAGGCTCATTTTACCACTCCCCCGGGGTTAAACAGTTTAGTTTTTTTTATGTATATATATATATATTTAGAAGAGTATCAGTAACCAGACAGTTTCTGGACTGGAAGTCAATGAGACCAGAAACTGTCTGGTTACTGATACTCTTCTAAATATCAGAAAACCGGCTGAATGGATTCGAAAACGGTAAAACCCAACTGTTTAACTCTGGGGGAGTGGTAAAATGAGCCTATTTCCAAAAAAAGTGGAGTTTTCCTTTAAAATTATTTAAGTAACGTTAAAACAGATACAACAAATGTATTGCTTATGGTTAGTTCATGTTAGTTAATACATTAATTAATGTAAACAAATGAAATCTTATTGTAACATATTGTTACAATATGTTCTTTAAAATAAAAGCCACTTGTTTTGGTATTTTGTCTTATAACGGTAAGATAATTATACAATTTTAAGTGTGGCTTTAGTGCCTAAATAACATATTTGGTTAACAAAATTACCATGATTAATATATAGCATTCATTTTAAATACCTAGGAGAACCATATGAAAACTATATTAAATTGTATTAGCAGCATGATACTCGTTCAATGCAAATGTCTCCTCTAAGCTGAACGAATGTGGAAAAAAGTATGTCCAGAGGACATACTCAAACATGTGTGGGGAAACAGCTGCAGATTGCTTGAATTAGAGCTAAATGAACGGAGAGCATTTCAGCAGGAGTCCATTCACATGTCCAATGATTTTCAGTATGAAACTGAGGCTATGAAGAAACCTGTGCATGGAGACATGCAGTGCTGATTAATATGAGATTAGACCCACATCCTACAGTCTGGAGATTCAGAGTGGCACCCAAAGGAAAAAATAATGGCTGTTTCCTCAGACACACAAGCCCACAAGGGCCACACATCATTATTTTGACAAACAAGTGATATGTTATTTTTTTCTTATCAAGTCTTTCAAATATAACAGCGTGGCCTTTATAAAACTTACCAGTATTAAATTACTATTATCCTCCATGGTTAGTGTAAAATTTTTAATATATGGAACAAGAAATTTCACTCGTTCATTTATTTTTGATTTTTTTATTTGAATTTATACAATAAGTAAAAACAGAAAGCTGGTTTAGTTTCTATATAAATTCTATATAAATAAATATACAATTAAATAATATATAAATAAATGGAAAGAACAATGATCATTATCTATATATCTATATATATAATACTGAATATAATATCGAAATACCATGCTGTTAGCATCTGATACCATCACTGTACCATGCTACCACAGGACTAGTGGTAAAGGACTAAAGTAGAATTCATGTAATTTTCTGCGGTGTCCTTTGGTTTGCTCTATTTTTGACAGTATGGCTGATATATTGAGATGATACCATGCCTTGATACTATGATATGTTGTCTATTTCTCTCTTTGTTTTGTGTTTTTCTCCTCTTTTCCCCCTTACCATTTCTGTCATCATTTGCAGGAACGCCTTCTCCTCTCTGTGCTTCCTCGACATGTCGCCATGGAGATGAAAGCCGACATAAATGCCAAACAAGAGGATATGATGTTCCACAAGATCTATATTCAAAAGCATGACAATGTGAGGTGAGTGACTCCTCAAATAGCCTGAAAGATGGCAGTCAGTGCTTGCACCTTAAAGCACCTTTTAATGCCTGCAATAATATTTTAAGCCATTTATGTTAACACTTAAGGTTGAGTGCTTATTTCTGTTCTAAAACCTAGTGAGCTTCTCTCATAGACAGTTAACTTCTTGGTAACTGAAAATGGAACCTCATAAGCGAACACAAAAACGGCACCTGTTTACATGTTTCTAAACTAACATGATACAGTTTCCTTATTATTAAATGAATTCCAGTGAGAAAAATAAGTATTTGAACACCCTGCTATTTTGCAAGTTCTCCCACTGTCCACTGTGAGAGACATAATCTAAAAAAAAAATCCAGAAATCACAATGTATGATTTTTTTAACTATTTATTTGTATGATACACCTGCAAATAAGTATTTGAACACAGAATTCTGACCCCCAAAGACCTGTTAGTCTGCCTTTAAAATGTCCACCTCCACTCCATTTATTATCTTAAATTGATGCACCTGTTTGAGGTTGATAGCTGCATAAAGACACCTGTCCACCCCATACAATCAGTAAGAATCCAACTACTAACATGGCCAAGACCAAAGAGCTGTCCAAAGACACTAGAGACAAAATTATACACCTCAACAAGGCTGGAAATGGGTTTCGGGGAAATTGCCAAGCAGCCTGGTGAAAAAAGGTCCACTGTTGGAGCAATCACTAGAAAATGGAAGAAGCTAAACATCACTGTCAATCTCGGACTGGGGCTCCATGCAAGATCTCACCCCGTGGGGTCTCAATGATCCTAAGAAAGGTGAGAAATCAGCCCAGAACTACACGGGAGGACCTGGTCAATGACCTGAAAAGAGCTGAGACCACCGTTTCCAAGGTTACTGTTGGTAATACACCAAGACGTCATGGTTTGAAATCATGCATGGCACGGAAGGTTCCCCTGCTTAAACCAGCACATGTCAAGGCCCGTCTTAAGTTTGCCAATGACCATTTGGATGATCCAGAGGAGACATGGGGGAAAGTCATGTTTGGAGGAAGAAGAATGATGAGTACCATCCCAAGAACACCATCCCTACTGTGAAGCATGGGCGTGGTAGCATCATGCTTTGGGGGTGTTTTTCTGCACATGGGACAGGGCGTCCATGTATTGCGAGATTTTGAGGAACAACCTCCTTCCCTCAGTTAGAGCATTGAAGATGGGTCTAGGCTGGGTCTTCCAACATGACAATGACCCGAAGCACACAGCCAGGATAACCAAGGAATGGCTCTGTAAGAAGTATATCAAGGTTCTGGCGTGGCCTAGCCAGTCTCCAGACCTAAACCCAATTGAGAATCTTTGGAGGGAGCTCAAACTCTGTGTTTTTCAGTGACAGCCCAGACACCTGACTGATCTAGAGAAGATCTGTGTGGAGGAGTGGGCCAAAATCCCTTCTGCAAACCTGGTGAAAAACTACAGGAAACTACAGGTTTGACCTCTGTAATTGCAAACAAAGGCTACTGTACCAAACATTAACATTGTTTTTCTCAGGTGTTCAAATACTTATTTGCAGCTGTATCATAAAAATAAATAGTTAAAAAATCATACATTGTGATTTCTGGATTTTTGTTTTTTTAGATTATGTCTCTCACAGTGGACATGCACCGACGATGACAATTTCAGTCCCCTGCATGATTTCTAAGTGGGAGAACTTGCAAAATAGGCAGCTCATTCTCATCCTTTAGCTTCACATAGAATGCTATATGACAAAACGGCGCTACGCACATGGCACCCTTTATCGTTAATATTCACACGAATCCAAGGCGTCATAAATCCTTTAGCGTAATATGAGACTACCCTACCCCACACCTAAACCTAACCATCACAGCACGTGTTATATCAACGATAACGGGTGCCATGTGCGTAGTATAGCGCCGTTTTGTCATATAGCGTTCTATATGATGCTAAAGGATGAGAATGCGTTGAAATAGCAGGGTGTTCAAATACTTATTTTCCTCACTGTAATTATTTTTAGATGTATGTAACATATGCTGTGTTAGGGTTAGGGTTCTCTGATTAAATGCTGTCTTGATAAGCACCTTACTAGGTTTTTGGAACAGAGCTTGTAAGTGTCATAGTTCTGATAAGCATTAGATATTGCACCCTCTTGTGGATTTAGAGATGAGAACACTGGCTCATCTCTATCTCCAACTGACCATCCATGTGTCACAGCAGCTCTTCTGGACAGCTCCAGACACATTCCCACTCATTAAAAGTTGATTTCCACAGCACCAGGCTAGTTAGGACACTCACGTCATCACAAGAGGCCCTATTAGGTGTAACCTGTTTCTTTCTTTCTTGTTGATCTTTGATTTATTCTTCAGCTTTTGTCTTGTGAAGACTTTGAGTTTGCTTCTAATGTACTAAGTGTTACAAGCATGTCCATGACATAAAATGACCATGTGATGATTTCTGATTCACCACTGTAAAGAATTCAAAATCTGGGCCCTGTACCATGATGGAAGTTGAACACACTAAGGGTTACAGGATTAGTTTTTGAGTTGACAAAACCAAATCAATCCAATCAGGCTTTGTTGGTACCATGATGGTGGTCAACTCAGACTTTTATCCTGAGTTTGGTTGTGACATCAATAGCAAACAGCCAATCATATGCTGACACTCTTCTGTTCATATTGTGGTAAAAACTTCTAAAAAGACAAACCACTTTCATGGTGCCTAAAACCCAGGGTTAGCACAAACTAAACTGAAACATACCTGACTAAACCGGCTTCACGGTATAGGCCCCAGGAGGGGTGACAAGATAAAACGAGAGGAGTTGGATTTAGCGCCAGAGAGCTAAGGCATTGCTTATGCCTGTCACACCATATTACAACTAAAAAGAGTTCATGAATACACAGAATTTTCTGCAATTTTTTTCCATTATTATTATATTTCATTTATTGATGGTGATCATTGGCGATGGAGCAAAGTTGAGCAGAAACTATGCTAACTTTTTTAACTTATCAATAAAAGCCAATTTATAAAATACACTGGTACCCCTTTTCCACCAAAGCATTTTGAGAGCCGGTTCGAAGCCGGTGCCTACTCGCGAACCAGTTCTTTGCATTTCGACAGCCAAAGAACCGGTATTCGGCCAGGAAAATTGGTTCTAAAGTGGCACCAACTCTTTGCTGGACTAGACCCAGAGAACCGTTCTTTTACCACGTCACCCTACGTCGTGGGCTGGGGGCGGGGTAACCAACAACACGACGGGAAAGGTTGTGACAGCCATTGCTAAAAACAGAGTGCTAGTAGAAAGATAGTCTGACCCAAATATTGGATCGTAAAGCCAGGAGAAACATTTGCAGAAAGACGATGTAGTCCGCCATTGTAATTGTTATGCTTAAAGTTGTCGCAAGCATTTCAGGCAAAGCTAAGACATATGGCGACGTACACAGTGACGTAACAACGTCATTCACTGGGCAAACAGGTTCTAAGAAGGGGTTACAAGTTGAACCAGCACCAGTTCTGAACCAGTTCTTCTTTGGTGGAAAAGGGGTATGGGTGACATCTACCCCTTTTCGGAGCCAGAGCCTAGTTTCAAATCAGTTCTTTGTCTTTCGACCACCAAAGCACCAGCTCCGAACCAGTAAAAGTGGTTCTTAAGTAGCACCAAATCATTGCTGGTCTAGAAGTAAGAACTGCTTACATCAGCGGCTGGGGGCGGGGTTACTGTGACCAACAAGACGAATAGAAACTTGTGACAGCCATTTTTTAAATTACGGCTAATTACAGCAGCTCAATTGGAATCTCCGTTAATGCAAGTTACGGCAAGCTGCACGGACATGCTGGATTCGCCGTGTTTGGATACCGATGTAGGTTTGCAAAGCCATGAGCATAAATAGTAACGCAACAATCGCCATTGCTGATCGAAGGCTTGGTCGAGATACATCGGAGCTGCGTGGACTGATCAGAGCTGCGGGAGTGTTTGTTTACTTCAGAGTTTACGACTCCTGCTTTTGAATCGAATCTTTTTCTAATGTTTTTTCGAATCGCTCTCGCAGTTCGAGATTCGTAGTGCCGATCCATCTCGAACATGCCTGGTGTGTTTGTGTGTGCCGCGCTAGCGTTTCTGGGCAACATGAGATGTATACAGTGACGTAAGATCTGGCTATGTGGCTCTCTAGCCTGTGAAAAGGCAAACCGGTTCTTTTGAAAGCTCGTCAGTCGAACCAACTCCGAACCAGCACCTGGTTCTTGTTGGTGGAAAAGGGGTAATCAAGTGTTTTAATGGCTGTTGGGGTTGGATACTCTCTGCCAGCCCTTTTCTATAATCAAATGGTAGATAGACTAGACTAGAGCAGCAAAATGCAACATGAACTTGAGGTTTGTGTGCCAGTGGGCAGTGAGACTCCTGGCCCTCTGGGCTGTTGTCTGCAGTCGTGGGTCTGTCTGTTTTCCTTTTCCAGTAAAACCCCCACTAAACAGGCTTGATTATCAAAGGAATTATGTAAGTGTGCAGCCAAGCGATATTTTGCTTAGTGGAATATCGATATTGTTACTAGAGAAACCCAGTAGTTTAATTGCTGAGGACGGTTGTATAACAATGTCTGTATTTGAGTCTTGAACAAAACCCACACTTATGGGAAGAGGAGGCTGGGAGTTCTGGAATGAAAAATTGGATTGATCTGATTTCTGAAACAACTCTCTGATTCACTGATCTGTTCGGAGCGAGTCTCCAGTTAATGATTCAGTGAATTCAGAAGTCTGACTCAAAATGAGCCAAGAACCAGGAGATCGTCTGAGCTTGAGTGCATGTGTGACTGATGGTACGAAAAGTAAGTTGTTATTACCAAATTGATTGATAATTGTAAATGAAAATTAGGTCATGACTGCCAGTTGTTTGTGAACTTAATCTGTTGTGAGCTATTTAGGCCTTGAATCCAGACATCTCCACATTTGGTGTATCATCCATTTCAGAAGCATTATTCATGGGAGGAGAGTAAATGAATCATGCAAGGTGA